TGTGGGTTTATATAACACATGATGAATGATTGCACAGCTGATTACTTCAATACACATATCGCAGTCCATGTTTCAACTGTAATTTTATCCCAATGCGTCATTTCAGATGAAACTTGGAACTTGCTTTATGAATATAGAATGATACCGCTGGAATATCTCCCAAACATATGTTGCCTTGTCAGGGTCAGTGGTGTGAATTGTTATCGCGTTACTTAGAAAGCTTGATGATGGAAGAAAAGTATTTTATCCATCTGGTCATCGTACTTATTGTAAACGTATTATTTACCTTATCTGGAGTATGTTTAAATTCCTTGGTCATACTCAGTTTCTGGAATTCTACGCAGCTACGGAAAAAGTTATGTTATTTCATGATAATGGTTTTGTCGTGTTGTGACTTGCTTGCTGTTTTAACCAATCATCCAATGCTGACGCTTACAGCAATGTTTTGGTTGACTGAAAAGTTTGATTTGTTACGTTGGTTATCTTCTTACTTGGATGTTGCTAACGTTTTCCTTGGCTTTTCTTTACTCGCTCTTTTGGTCATGAATTTTGATCGATATTTGGCGACATCTTATCCTATCTTTCATCGAACATCAGTAACGAAGCGAAGACTTTTAACTTGTCTTGCAGTTCTAATTATTGGAACAACGTTGTTGATGGGTTCTGTACTCGGCTTCGGAGTTTCTAATGAAGTGTTTGTTTTAATTTGTTTTATTATTCTCTTTCCTCCCATGTTATTCATCAACTACAAACTGTTCACAGTTGCCAGGAAAAATCGTAGAAACAACAAAATATCACCAAAAAGTATCTCGAGTTGCTTCCTAGCAGCCGCTTGTTTTGTGTTACTCTGCATTCCAATATTTGTCTACATTGGACAAAGTCTAAATAATGAAAGAACATGGGCGTTGGATGATGTCGATATTTCAGCACTTTGGTCAAAAACTATAGCATCAATGAACTGCACCTTTAATTGCTTAATTTTCTACTGGAAAAACAAGATTTTACGAACAGAGGGTTTGAGAATAATCAAAAGCCTGAAAAAATAATCAGGGGTTTAGTCCACATGCATGAAGAGACGGAGGAAAAGACTGGGAATCCTACCGTATAACCTCAGTAACCAGCCTCTAAACTCACCCTAACTGGACCATCTGAGTAGATCAGGTTTTGAAAATATTTGGAATCATGCATGCTGCTAATCCTTGCTCATAAAAAACTTTGAAGGTTCAAAGAAAATTGTACATATAAATTGTGAATGTAGATTTTATAAATACCTGGTAATTGTACTGGAATTAATAACGGAACCAATTCTGAACAATGCCAAAGAATCACTAGATAGTTTTGTGAAATTAATTCGAAAGGGAATGGGAAACCCTTATAAGTGTGAGAACATAAAATGGTGACACAGATAAGTTTGAGATCAATGTTGGGTTACATCAAGGGCTGAGCTCTTTTGTTGGATGCAGATCGTATAAAAATAAAAAACGTCTGCTCCCTGAGTAGTGGTCTTTGCAGATGACATTGCATTGGTGAGAAGAACAGGAGAGGAGCCACCGGCGAACATTTTGAAGAAGACTGGCAAGTGGAAGCTTGAAGGTGACTACACAAAAAAATTCAGAGACCTTCATGATGGAAACAAGAGACGGCTGTTATAGAATCAGGAAAGAGGATAGATGATTTGATGAGAAAACGGGGATACAAATGTTGGGATGAATCCTTGACGCATGTGTTCACAGAAGGGAAAGATAAAGAATGAAGATAAAGAATGAAGATAAAGAATGATAATATTATATAAAGCTGAGGTGGTGGTACTGGTAGGGACATGTAATAAGAAGAGATGAAAGTGATCCAGGGACATTATGGAATGAAGAGATCAGAAGCTGACGTGGGGTGTTAGACAATAGACATTTCAGAGAATGTGAGGGAAGCAAGGCTGATATGGTAGTGGCAGGTAATATGAAGAGACACGGAAGCAGAGCCAGTAGATACATACGTAGCTGGAGGTCATAGAAAGACCGAAGAAGAAAATTGATACACTGTGTAAAAGAAGATTTGAAGAGCATGTGGACATGGCGAGCGATAGAAAGGACAGAGAACAAGAATCCGAGTTTGTCTGGGACTAAAGCTAGGAAGAATGCAAAATCCATTTACGCACGTTCCCACTTTCAAAGCATCATTTTCAAGGTCGAAACTGGCTCAGATCAACGGCGAAAAACATGATTTTAATCCTTTAATTCGCGACCATCTTAACAACCATTATCTAATCCCACCGTCTTAACAAACATTATTCATATATACCTGTCTTAATTAGCAAGCTATTCTATACTGCTCGTCCGTTAGGTCTACCTGCACCTCAGTCCTCAGTGCTGGCAATGTATCCCGGCCGGCTACAACATGTACAGAATTTTGCAGCCCGCATTATCAATGGTACTAGGAAAATTGACCATATCACACCTGTTTTGAAAACCTTAGTCGATCAAAACACAACTGTACCTGAGAAATCTGCGCATTTCAATGTATGAATGGCTGGGCACCTGGGGAGGAGAGCACCTGCTACATCGCAGTTAGTTACTGAAGACAAGAGATCTCTGGCAGGTCTTGTATATTCACATATTATATTTATACGAGGGTCTAGATAGGGGGAGGGGGTATTTCGACGGTAAATCTTTGAATCTGCTGAAAAGTGTTCTGAAACGGTAAAGGAGTGGTAAACAATATATTTGTTTCCTCACGCTTCACGGTACATTTTTTTTCGCGACTGAGGATAACCGAAATAGAGCGATCACGATTCACGATATACCCACATCAACACCCTCTTATAGACTTACATAATATCATGATTGCGGGTATTCCCTTTGTTCGCGCAGGGCAATTAAAAAGAAGGGTAATTTGGTAAAATTCCCTCGGGTCATTTAGTAAAATTGTAAAGTAAAAAATGACCCTCATCGAGCGGCGCCCAAGGGAATTTTACTAAACCACCCTCATCGGGCGGGACGTTTTAATAGCTAATTCGCCTCTTTTTATACTATTACTTCTAAATATCACTCGAACGGTCTGTGCTAGCATGGGTAGTGACAATATTGAGGGTCCTGAAGGGGGGTCGTATTCCCATTTCCCAGCCCAAATTTTGACTAAATCCCATTGTTCCATAGCGCAAATCCCATCATCTCAGTGGCTGTCCTGCCCAAATCTTAATCCCATTCCCATTTTCTATTGTTTTTTTGCTAATGAATCCCAGTCCCAGTGCATGAAATCCCATTTTCCCACCGAAAAAATAAGCAAATCCCAGTTCTCATTTTACCCCTTCAGGACACTCAATATTGGACGTTTCGAGCGAAGGCCTTTCGTCCGGGAAGTTAGTGAATAATAATAATAATAATATCACTAATGAATATAAACAGAGCTGGCTAGCTCAATAGCTCATACAGCCCCCCCCCCCCATACAGTCATTCTGCAAATTCCAGCTTTCTTTTCATATTGTACGAACAAAATTCATTTAAGGTAATTCCGCAGTTTTGCATTGCGCACTTTTACTGCGCACATCTTATAACTTATAATTTCATCCATTATACGTACCGTTTAAAAAAAATCGTTTTATGACAATTTTATGTTACTTCAAAACATCTTTGGTTACATTCGTGCAAAGAATTACGTTAAAATCAATGTTTTCTGAAAAGGCATACAAAAGTGTAGCTAGGGTTCCTGTGTCTGTAGTATATTTATTTACTTGTATTCAGATGTTTTAATGCCACAATTCCCTAAAAAGATCGGTGACCCCCGTTTTTTAACTGATAATTTATTTCTTTAATGCATTTTACATTTCATATCCGAAATTAAAAGAAAAATCATTTCTGGATCTTGAAAAAAAATGCTTTATCAATGCATGTTCTCAAAGAAAGATATGTAAAGAAATGTGCAAAAGACATTTGTGGATCAGAATTGTATACGTTAGTAGTTTAATTTTGCTCAAAACACAATATTTTTTCAAAAATAATTACAAGATTGGTTTACTAAAGCAAAATCCGCGCTAAAAACGTCAATACAGTGGCGTAACTACTATGGGCTCAGACCGGGAGAACCCGGGGGCCCCAACACAAATGGGGGCCCCCAGGCTTAGGCGATAGAGTAAAAACAATAGCCAGGGCCTCTGATATGTTACAATGTCGTTTTATGACCATCAGAATTCTGTAAAATCTCTCCCCAAAGTCCAGGAAATGGCATTTCAAAGAGTCTAGATTCAAAAATTTTCCGGATGACCATGTCCTGGACCCCCTAGAAAACTCGTGCATATACGGCGCTCGACTCGTGCCTTTGGTACTTCTACTAGGGGGGGGCCTTCGAAAATTTTGAACCGGGGGCCCCCTGATATAACGTTACGCCACTGCGTCAATAAATATCGGGCTGTTGTGATTTTGCTGTTACTCGTAATGAGCGTCAAGATGGTGCCATATTGGGGTAAAGGTGGTATATTGTGATTGTCATATCTTCTTAACGAGTTCGGTGACCCCGACTTTTTTGTGTGATTTTACTTTAAGTATATCACAAACTCCATGCCTCAACCTGGGAAGTTTCAGCACATTCTCATTTTGGGAACAATTACTGCGGAATAGCTGTTGTCGTAATTGAATAGAGGGCCCCCTATACTTTTTGCGTGAAGCGTGAAGGGCTTATTTTACTTAGCCGTGAAACGTGATCGATGATTTTCTTAATCCGTGACTCGTGAAAAGACAAAATATTTTTACGTGAAAGCATATTGTGAAGAGGTATAGGGGGCCCTCTGAATACGCCGCTGCGGAATACCAGCGGTATCTCAGTGGAAGTACGCACGAAAACGAGGCTAAAGGGTAAAAAAACACAAAACATGACCCTATAGCCTCGTCTCGATGTTATAATAATGCAGAAACCGCTGGTCTGTAGCATAGACGTATTCAATTACGATAACAGTTTGAATATGAAGTCGTGTCCATAAATTGTTAGTACAAGATGAAGTACATGGTTGGCATGAGCCAGCGATCGTAGTACGCGCGGGAGACAACAGGAGTTACAGACGGCAGTGAAATTTTGGAGAAAAGTTTAGAAAATTCTGTAAAAATAACATTGTTTTCGATAATTGAACACATAAATATTTCAAGATGATGATCGAAGAAGTGAAGAGTACAACCAAGACACAAAGAATAGCTGCGCACAGCCATGTGAAAGGACTTGGTTTAGATGATGAAGGCGTCGCTCATCAAACTGCATCAGGTTTAGTTGGACAGGAAACTGCACGTGAGGTATTGCTAAATTATATCATACAACGTCTATATTTTATGATGCTGTCTTATAAACAAATTTCTCAGAGAAGTGAGAGAACTATGTACCACAATAACCACATGGGCTATTCCATTTAATACCCCTACCCCCTGTCGAGGATCCCTGAAATTCTTCAGGGGTAAAGGGAAGTTGTCCGACGTAGAGAGGAAACCACCGGACATTCTGTCTGACCTAAGTGAAAATGAGGTTTATTGTTTGTCCGACCTGAGTGTATTGGTGTCAGACTGAACTGTAGCTTTGTCCAACGTAAATCCATCAAAATGTACCCTATCCCAGGACTAGAGGCTTGTATGTTAAGTGGAAAACCAGAGTACTATTGTACTAGAAAATACATGCATGCAGAAACCCTCGCCTTGCTGACAAAACCGTTGTATTTTCCGAACAGGAAGTATCTAGAGTAGTTGTCATGGTAACACGATAATTTTTTAAGAATATTCTTACAAATGAAAATCGCCTAAAAATATCACTTTTAATTACAAAATTATCAATTTCCCAACATATATATGTTAGGTATGTAATTATACGTAATACCACAGGAGGCCCAGGCTCGATTTGCCCGCGCCCGCCTGTGCCTTCCTTATAACGAGGGAAGGACGGAGACATTGAGACCAAAATAGCTCAGACTTGGCATATGTCACACGAAACTATCCTCGTTTTCTTGCTTTTAATGCATTTCTTTCACGATTAATCGATATCCCCTGCAAGAATGATACCGTATAACTCTAAAAACAACGATGCTTTAACCAAAGAGCTTAAATTCGCTCTGAAATCCGTGAGGGAATAACAAAATTCTGCCAAAATATATCTGCGTGCTGGGTTTGCTGTGCAAAAAGCGGAAGTCGTTGAACAACTCCAAATACACTCAACCCTGATTGGACAACGAATATCAACAAACATTTCAAATTTTTTTAACAAACGCAATGTGAAATACAATTTATTATACATATTAACGTACTACAGTTATATTTACATGCAGTAATATTTACACTTTATAACGTTTGTGAATACTTTTGATTGTATGATTGAAATTATTACAGTACTGTTAAAAAAATTTGAAATGTTTGTTGATATTCGTTGTCCAATCAGGGTTGTGTCTATTTTGAGTTGTTCAACGACTTCCGCTTTTTGCACAACAAACCCGGCACGCGGATATATTTTGGCCGAATTTTGTTATTCCCTCACGAATTTCAGAGCGAATTTAAGCTCTTTGATTAAAGCATCGTTATTTTGAGAGTTATACGGTATCATTCTTGCAGAGGATATCGATTAATCGTGAAAGAAATGCGAGAAAACGAGGATAGTTTTGTGTGACATATGCCAAATCTGGGCTATTTTGGTCTCAATGTCTCCGTCCTTCCCTCGTTATAAGGAAGGCACAGGCGGGCGCGGGCAAATCGAGCCTGGGCCTCCTGTGGTAATGCAAGCTTCAATTTAAGGTAAAATTCAACCACAAACAATTCACAAAACATTTTAAAGCATAGACGGATTTTCATATTTTTTACTGGGGTGGTGCCAGAAATTTTAGGGGGGTGAGCCGTGAGCAGGTGACTGAAGCAACACAAAGTGTCACCAAACCCCAGTAAGGTCTATATTCTAGGGCTGGAGCACTAGAGCCGCGAGGGGGAGTCTAGAGAGCAGAAAACAAAGTATCCCTGGAAAAATTTGAAAAAAATCATGATTTCTAGCTTCGAAAAAACGTTTTTTGAAGTTGTCATATCAATGGATTTGGCCTGTCCGATCAGGGCCGTAGCTAGCATGTATAGTTGGGGGGTGGGGGGTGTAGGCCAAATATTTCCGAATGACGAAAAAAATTTCCGAATATTTCATGGCATACGAAGCAACGAAGGTGTTTGCTATCTGGAAAATGAAGACGCAATTTACAAACAAAAATACACATAGCCCACATAGTTTCCACAAAGACATATTACAGAAGTATGCAGTGCCGTAGGAAGCTCTTTTTGATTGGGGGCTGGGAACGAGGGCCGAAGGCCCGAGGAAATTTTTAAATTTAGATTCTCTGAAATGCCATTTCCTGGACTTTGGGGGGAAGTTTTGACAGAATTCTGATGGTCAGAAAACAGAGTTTTAATATGATATTTGTGATGTTACTCTGAGTATGCATCCACAGTGGGCAAGCTGAAAAGTGTGCCTGGCCACGGTGGGAGTCGAACCTGTGACCTTTGGGATACTAGTCCAATGCTCTCCCACCTGAGCTACGTGGTCAAGTCGGTTCGACTTGTTGATATTTCGGAACTGAATCTAGTTCCTTCGACATCAGTGTAATCTTTGATATGATTTATGTGTGTGTGTTGGTGTTGTGTACTCAAGTGAATATGATGTTTGTGATGTTACTCTGAGTATGCATCCACTGATCCACACCGGGAAGCTGAAAAGTTAGCTTGCCCACGGTGGAAATAAAACCCGCGACCTTTGGGATGCTAGTCCAATGCTCTGCCAACTGAGCTACGTGGTAAAGTCGGTTTGAGTTGTTAATAGAGTTTTAGTATGTCGAAATTTACAATTTGATTACAATTTAGCAGAATTAAATGGGCGAAGTCGTATTTAGCTATATATTGGAGAAGTTGCAGGAAAGAGTATGGGTAATATAATTCTTTGCGGTTTGTCATGGATAATGTAGCCGCTTAAAATTAATCAATTGTTTAAATGATAAAGGTGTGCATGATTTTGAAAAAAGACTGATTATCAGCAAATTATTGTAAGGGTGCTGCCTCCCCCCCGGTTGCTACGGCCCTGAGAAGTACTGAAACCGAAAAAAAATTTACCGATTTACGATTTGTTAAACGTTATCCATGTAAATGCCGTGATTTCGTAAATCATTTTATACTGATTATAATATTATAATATTTTTTCTGTTTAATTAAACAATTAAAATTTTGTTATACTATTATTGCCGTAATTTTCCGAATGGCCAACCCGATTTTCCAAATATGTTAATTCTACAAAAGTTGGGGGGTTAACCACACCCACACCCCCCAACACCCCCTCGCTACGGCCCTGTGTCCGATTGTCTGTTGAGACTTGAGAGAGTTAAAGTTAAATGAACCTGTAAAAGTGTAAACCGGCAATAGGCCAATACACAATATGCTTTTACTTTTATAAACAACGAATTAAAAAATTAAAAAGAATTAAAAACGAGTTACAAACCTAAAAGAATTAAAAACAAAAAATAATGTTTGTAAAAATTCCAAACGTTCCTTGCAAGCAAGCTATTTTCATGACAAGGCACTGCAAACTCTATTCAGGGGAGATAATAGAGTTTCAAAACTTTACAATTGCTCCAATAATATTGCTTTCTATTTGAGTGTACTCCTACGTTTATTTTGTATCATCAACACTCTGCACGTTGGAGTGGATTATTTAATTATTTTTTATTATGCCGAATATTGGGGGGGTTGAAAATTTTTTTGGAGGGGTGGACATTTTGTTTGGGGGGGTTATAGCTAATATTGGGGGGGTAGCACCCCCCCCTGCACCCCCCCCCAAAATCCGTCTATGTTTTAAAGTGTTCTTTAATATAAAACTAAACTGCTTTTAACTATTAAACTTTGACTTTGCAATAAAATGATTTCAAATTCTCG